AAAACAGTTTTAGCATTTATAAGTTTTATTGCAGCTTCTCATATCATTTAAAATGGATTTACCTTTCACAATGCTTATAGTGGTACATTGTAGAACAAAAAGCACAATAATCAAAGTGGTGATGATGTCTTTCTTTTTAATACTTATTTTTTAAACATGTTGTGGTCTTCATACTGTAGTAAGTAGTCTATGTAAAGTGAATCTGAAAAAGAAAGTGCATTGAATCGACACAAGTATTTTTAGTTTGTGACTGAATGTCAATTACAGCATAAACGTTGAGATACTGACAGGGATGTATTTTAAAGTGAGACTCTTTTATTTCAAAATGTTTACTGTTTGGTTTTCTCCTTATTTGTTTTGCCTTTCTTCATATTTACTAGTAATTCAGTCTTATTTCATAGCTTCATGTTAGTTGAACATGCTGTCTAAATTTCACTCATACAATCAATGGGTGACCATGAGGTTGATTGGCTGATAGATATTGTGTGCTGCTAAACTGAATACTGTAAACACATTAATTTATTCACTGGTTTTTAATTTCGCTATTTTCACTGATACATGAAATCCACAAAATTATATGCATGTGAACAAGTAAAATAACAATAGAACTCATTATCTCTGCCAAGTTTGTGGAATTAAAACCCAGTGCAATAGCTCAAAACATCAAAATGGTGAAATTAAATGTCAGTAAAAAAAATGATTTTACAGTATGCTAATTTTCTAAACAATAAATGGCAGTTATATGTTCTCTTCACACAATGCATTAACTGATAATTGCCATAGAGACAAAAGTGTGATCAATGCAATTTTGGTGATGTTAGAATAAATTTACATGGTTAATCTAAACAACATGACTATTTTGGAGAAGGACGAAGGACTCACAGAATAAGAGGAAGGTATGCAGGCTGATTGGACATAAACTACTGCTAGTGTTTTGCAACTTGTGGATGATTAAAGTTATTGATATATGCTTGCATTACAATACCAAACTGTTTCAATTCTATAATTTGCATTATTTTGAGATGTGATAATGTCCATATCAGGATAAATTCTTATCGTCCCATAGACGTTCATGTATTCATGTAGCCAAACAAATAGATCATCAGGCACCTGTGGCTAAATTATTCAAGATCAGAGCAATTAACAAGTTAGCTGAGAGGATACATCTCTTTGATAATATAATTAAAATATAGATTCAGTGAAAGAATTCAGGTACCTGGGGATAATTTCCCCCCCCCCCCAATGGAAAATTTAAGCTCAACAACCAAATGTTGAAAAATACATCCATGAAAGCATTATTTACAATAAAAAACACTATACTAAGTCATAAAATGATATCACCAAATATGTAATTGCCACAACTAAATACTGGCACAGATTGAAATCTCTACCAGAAAGTCACATCCTTCAAGATGCATGAAAAGAATCAGAACAAAATTTAAATATCCAATAACATCCATCTGTAAACAGCCGGGAAATGGTTGATTTTTAGAATTTTTTAGCACAAAAATGGCCGCCATTCAGCCATCTTGAATCAGATCGTAAAACAAAATTATTTGTATCAAGGTCCTATAATGTCTAATGTATATACCAAGTTTGAACAAAATCCATCTGTAAACAGCCGAGAAATGGTTGATTTTTAGGATTTTTTAGCACAAAAAGGGCCACCATTCGGCCATCTTGAATCAGATCGTAAAACAAAATGATGTGTATCAAGGTCCTATAATGTCTAATGTATATACCAAGTTTGAACAAAATCCATCTGTAAACAGCTGAGAAATGGTTGATTTTTAGAATTTTTCAGCACAAAAATGGCCACCATTCGGCCATCTTGAATCAGATCGTAAAACAAAATGATGTGTATCAAGGTCCTATAATGTCTAATGTATGTACCAAGTTTGAACAAAATCCATTTGTAAACAGCCGAGAAATGCTTGATTTTGATGATTTTTAGCACAAAAATGGCCGCCATTCGACCATCTTGAATCAGATCGTGAAACAAATTGAAGTGCATATGTATAATATCATGTATGATGTATGTGTGAAGTTTGATTGCACGCACGCACAGACAGACGCACTTATGCATGCACACAGGTACACACAGAGGTCAAAACATAAGTCCCCATTTTTCGACTGCGTCCAAACGGGGACTAAAAACAACTAACAAAGAAATTACACTCACAGCTGACAAAAACATATAAACAGACATGGAAAAATCAAATTAGAAATACCGAAGGCACAACAAGGTAACAAATTAAGAACATATCGTATTTTTAAAAAAGAATTTGAAATGGAAAATTACTTGACAGTAATTACTAAATTTCATTTGAGCAATTGGTTCGGTGTGTAATAAAGCTATTTATAATTGCCAAAATTTCTTTGTACAATCTGGGATAAAACCATTTATTTTCACTATTTTGATGTTTAGAGCATATTCACTGTGCTTTAATTTCACGGATTTGTCATGAAAACCATTTTATTGTTATTTTACATGAGTTAAAGAGTTAAATAAGGAAGATAACACATTAGATATAAAGAATACCAATGACAAATTGAATGCAACAAAACAAAATATAAAGAGAATAGGAAACAATATTAAACAAAAATATATTGAATTCTGGAAGGAGACAATTATGGATAAACCTAAGTTGAGAACATATACTCAATTCAAAACAAACTACAACTTTGAAAGTTACTTAATTATACTGAATCTAAAACATAGAATTTCTGTCTCTAGATTCCGAACAAGTAATCACAGCCTAGCAATAGAAAAGGGTAGACATACCCAACCTAAAATTTCTTTGGAAAACAGGATTTGTAAACAATGTACTTTAAGCAGACATAGAAGATGAAATGCATCTCCTCATCAAATGCCCAAAATATCACACACTGCGAATGGATATATTCTCAAATATACAGTTTCCTGATGAAACAAAAACTGACCAACAGAAATTTACATACTTAATGAAAAATTCTAACACAAATGTAATCAAACTTGTTGGAGAATTTATACACAGCTCGTTCTTAATGAGAAACGAGAAAGATACTTAACAAAAACACTAAAATCTATCATTTATTATTTGCTATAGTTATTTTGTTATTTTGTTTTTTAATATCTTACTTTTGTTGCTATAAACTGATGGAAACACTGTATTTCTAAGGATGCAATAAATTATCTTTATTATTATTATTATGTTCACATAGATTTAATTTAGCGGATTTTACTCATCAGCGAAAATAAAACCCAGTGATTTAATTAATGCATTTACAGCACATAACTTGAAAGACACCTTTGTTGTTGAAACAACATGACCAGCTTGTTGAAAAGAAATATTAATAATTCTCTAAGACAAACCGGAAACGGAAATGTCGTCACGCGCCTAGTTACGCCTTGACAACCGATGGCGTGGGGGAAACAAATGGCTGCCAGACCACTTCCAGACGTGGTGATACATCGTGTGAACGACCGTATTGTGCTTCCTATTGAAAAGCTTTTCTATTTAAAATCGGACGTTAGCAAAGATACCCAAGAGGTTGACCAGGGGCATTGTCAGTTAGCATAATTCTCTGGTGAAGTCCACATCATACTTGGCTCACTAGTGTCACTGTGATTTATCAGAATGCCAAAAAGCTGCTGTGTTCCGAAATGCACTAACACAAAATTGAAATTTCCTGACCTCAACTTTTACATCATTCCAGTTGAGTCTGATAGAAGGAAGAGGTGGCTTCAAGCCATCAAGAGGGCAAAGATAAATGGTAATGGATCTGTAGACAAGTCTAAAGTTTGGTCACCAAAGTCAAACCACACTTATGTCTGTTCAAAGCATTTTTTATCTGGTAAGTTATCCCAAACAAACACCTTTACGTTTTATAGTTTTATATTTGTTTCAATTTTCTGGAATGACTTATTATTCTTGCTTAATTTTTAACACTAATCAATAAAAGAAAAATAAATGCAATTTCATACTTTGTTTCATCCTGTACTTTATTTGTCTGAAAAGATACATATTCACTGGCAGGCTATAATTGTTTCATAATTTTATACACAAATTGTAATTCAAGTTTTTTATTCCTTCATTGTTTAACTTAATTTATTGCAGGTAAAAAAAGCAATGAACAAACACATCCAGATTTTATACCATCTGTTTTCCCGCACCAGAAAAATACCACATCGATATCAAAATTGGGCCGTCACCAAAGATTAAATCGCAGAAACAGTATTGGTAAGTTCTTTAAGATTCTGGTGGTTTGCTACCATTGTTGTCAGAATTTCATCACAATGTTTCTATTTTAAAATGGATATATGTATCCTTTGGGGTATATTGGTCCACGGACAAAGATTTGTAATTAAAAGTATGTGACATTTATTACACTCTGGGTTACTATATATAATTTAATTTAATGAAAAACATTTTTAGTCTATTTTTTTTAAACATTTTATGACAACCATAAGTACGCCCAAGGTCAAAAGTAGCGTGGTGACCATTTATTTGTTTGTGATTTCTTAAAGGATATAACCCAACAAAATACTGAATAGAAGCAAACTATCTAAAATAATAATGCCTAAAATGGTTTGAGGGGTATGTTTTGCCCACAACTTATTTGTCTGTGTAGTTACACTTATTGTGAAATTTATGATTTATTTCAGGTTGTGAGTCTACCAAAAAGCGAGTGAAGTTCGCAAAAAACGTTGGAAAAGACTATCTTCTTCGACATCAGACCGGACATCACCATCACATGCAGTATCAACAACATCACTTCCACCGTCGCCATCATCATCATTGTCATCATCGCCATCTTCGTCGCTTTCAACCACCAATCTGCCACAAGTGTCACCCACATTAGCAGCACCACCACCAATATCGCTTTCAACCACCAATCTGCCACAAGTGTCACCCACAGTAACAGCACCACCACCAATATCGCTTTCAACCACCAATCTGCCACAAGTGTCACCCACAGTAGCACCACCACCACCACCAATGTCAACAGAAAGGACCATGTTACTGGTTGAAATTGACAATTTGAGGATGGAGCGTGATGAAGCCAGAGAAGAAATAGCAAGATTAAAGAAACGCATAAATCAGTTGGAAAAGTGCTCAACAGTTTCCAGTAACTCTGTGGCTGAATCAGACTGTAACTGTAATTTGATGACTGGTTTATCATGGGCAGTGTTTTTACAACTATTTGCAGCACTTAGTGTCTCATTTGGTGAATTTAGCTGTACTAGGGACAGCCTGCCACTGAGAGAACAGTTCTTTATAACACTAATCAAATTAAGACATGGAGTAACCTTTGATTTCCTTGCACACATTCGAGGTTGTCCGAAGTCCACAGTTATAAATTATTTTTGGAAGTGGACTGATTTGATCCATTCAAAACTCGGCTTTATGGTGCAGTGGCCTACAAGGGAAAACATATTTAACAAAATTCCACCAATTTTTAAAAAGAAATTCCCAAGGTTGACATCAATCATAGATTGTTTTGAGATTTTTATAGATGCACCCAAAACTTTGTTAGCAAGGGCACAGTGCTATAGTAGCTACAAAAAACACACTACTGTGAAAGTCTTCATCTCTTGCAGTCCCCTTGGGCAGATAAATTTTATTTCGAGTGCTTGGGGTGGTCGTGTGTCAGATGTGCACCTTGTCCGTGAAAGTGGATTTATATCACCAAAGTTACATTTCCCGGAGGATCAAATCCTTGCAGATCGAGGTTTTACTTTGGTGGAAGATTTTGCCACCAGTTGCTCAGCGCATCTGATTATACCAGCTTTCACCAAAGGAAAACTCCAGTTGTCTGCTGAGGAAGTTGAAAATTCACGGAAAATCTCTTCTGTGCGTATTCATATCGAGAGAGTAATTGGGAACATGAAAAACCGATACACCATTTTACAAGGCCCGTTGCCAATTCGCATGATTCAAAGTTTAAAAAATGAAGCAATGGGTGCAGAATTGGCCAGCATAGACAAGCTTGTTAAAGTTTGTGCAGTACTGACGAACATGGGGGGCAGTATTGTATATGCTGAATGAGCTATGTTGCTGGCATGTTGTTCCATGAAGCTAAATTCCAATATTGCTTTCAAATTTAAAATATTGTCAAGAAAGTAAACATGTATAGCATAAGCTTTGTTTGTTTTCGTCTATTTCTTGCAAGATTGAAACTTTGAAAACAATATTGTTATTTTGGTCCATCGTGCAACATTTAACAGTGACCATTGTGTATTTAAATTAAAAATAACAATGTTAAAGACAAGTTTCAAGTATTCAAGACTCAATACTTTATTGCATAGTATGATGTCAATAAATAACACTGTAAATAATACACACTGTAAATACATAAGTTAAGAAAAATAAAACATTGATAAAAAAAATAAAAACAGTGAAAAATTAAGATTATGTATGCTTGTGTCGTGCAGTTCATCTCCAAACTTATGTGAGTGGTAAATCCCAGCATCCCAAATCTGTTGATAAATTGTAAAATAAATAGAGTGCAGTTTTCACAAACATACAATTCTGTACTGCAGTGGCCCCAAATTTATTTTAATTTGCAATTTTGTTTTTTCGTGATTCCTTCCGACAGGCTGGACAATACCATGTTTTAGATTTTGGTGTTCTTTTAAGTTTCAAACAGCCCAGGTGGAACCAATTATCACATCGATCACATCCAACCATAGTATCATCCACATCAGATGATTTGCAAATACAATACTCTTGATGGTCATCCATGGTACTTGTGGATGGTTGATATTTTCTCTACTCTCATCTGCCTGTTCAGACGAGCGTGTAATTAGTTCCGGTAAAATTGCTGATGTCCAAAATGCTTGCACTTTGTCTGTCATAACATTAAGAAATCATCATTTCTTTTTACCCTAGTAATCACGCAGTCAACTGGAGTCCATACTACAAAATCAGCATATGCTGCTTCACAGACAAACATTTGACATTGTACCTGACTATAGTAACAATGATTTTTTTTCAGTTCATAGTCAGCATTCAAACAAAACTGTGGATCTGACACCGCATTATCCATTGTTGTCTCCCTATGTTTGTATGGGCATTTTATCTCTAAAACACCAGTCCCATGACATGAACAGGATATAATTCCATCTGCTGATGCGCCCAAGTATGGATGAGTTGTTGAAATCTTCAATCCAATTTTTTTGACTGTGAAATCTTCATGAATTTCCTCCTGTTTCATGATGATATGACTCGATGGCAAGAGTGTGGAACAGCAGTTGTCTAAATCTGTCCCACCTACTGACTGTTCATACAGCTGGAAAGCATTATCTT